CATTTTCTGATGTTGTCTTCAGTTTATTTTTTCAATGCTTTATAATTTCCACTAAGGAGGTCTTTTACTTTCTTGGGTTGATTCGTAGGGTTTTTAAAAAGCTTTGTGAATTGAATTATTTGCTTGATTTCTTTCTTTGCAGGTTCATTATTAATGTATAAGAATGCTACTGACTGCTGTACGTTGGTGTCCTGCCACTTTGCTGAATTTGTTGATGAGATCTAAGAGTCTTCTCATGGAGTTTTTAGTCTTCTATGTATAGGATCATATCATCTGCAGATAGGAGTAATGAGACGCCTTCCTTTCATATTTGTCTCCCTTTTACTTCTTTCTCCTGCCTGATCATCCTAGTACTATACTGAACAGAAGTGGTAAGGGTGGATCCCTTACTTTGTTCCTGTTTTTAGAGGAAATGCTTTCAGTCTGTCCCTGCTCAGTATGCTTTGGTTGTGGGCAGGAACTGTGATTTTGAATGACAGTGGGCAACAGCTGAACTCTCACAAGGAGTAAGATGTAGAGTGCAAGTGTCTGTAGATGACTGCAGTATAGAGAAATAGTGGCCTGCATGTCGGGATCCAGAGCTTAGAGGATTCTTTCATGGGAGGAACAGGGGAGAGGACAGACAGCTTACAACTACTGTAGTAGTAAAGAGCAAGAAGAATGCCTTCACCATCTCCAGGCCAGAAGTAAGTCCCGGAGCTGTGGAGAGGAAGGAGCTGTCTCTTGAGAGGATTTCAGGGAAAGAAGTAATGCCAGTCTAAAGGGAAAACAGGTTTCAGTTAGAAGAAGTTGGTGAGGGAAATATTTTGGAAATTTAAGTTGGTAATGTAAAGATTTGCTGATGGCTGACTGATTTCTATGGGGGCCCAGTAGAAGAGAGGAAGGATTTGCGGGACAAGGGATGGGTGCAAGGTGAAGATGTAAAAGGCTGTGGACACATCTGACAGCTGGGGATGACAGCCCGGGAGGTGACATGCTCTGGAGTCATCTTGAGGGAACTGGAGTGACCAAGGACATAGGCCCTGAGGATGGGAAGCCTGATGGTCTCAAGACAGATGGGGAGTTAAGGTCATGAGTACTGGTAGAGAAAGGCAAGCAGAGTTCTTACAAGGCCCTCCTTTTCTTGACCACCTCCTCACTCCTTGTGAGGCAGAAAGGAGCAAGGCCCCTTATTCAGAACACTTCAGTAGAGGTTACTTGTCTGTGTGGCCAGAAAAATAACATGCACTGGTTACCATTGGTCTGCTACATTAGTTATGTATTCTAACTAGTAAATTACTCCAAAATTTTAGTGGCTTAAAGAACCATTATCTCATCTTTTCTCTGGATCAGGAATCCAAGTAAATGTAACTTTTTCTGAGTTCTCTATCTCTAGGTCTCACTCAAAGCTTCAATCAGTGTTAGTAGTTGCTTAATCATCCTGAGGCTTAATGGGATGGGTCCTCTTCCAGGCATACTCAAATAGTTGGCAAGATTCAGCTCTTCACAGTGGTTTAGCCCTCAGCTCCTTACCAGCTGTTGGCAGAAGGTTCCCTTGGTCCCTTGCCACATGGATTCTTTCACGCATCAGAGCAAAAGTCAGCAGGCGACTGTTAGCAAGACAGATCTAGTTGTCGTCCTATCACTTTTTCTTCATTCATTAGAAGCAAGCTACAAGGTCCAACCCACAGCCAAAGGGCTTACACAAGGGTATGATTACTAGGCAGTAGAAACCATTGAATACCTGTCAGATTACCCACCGCTGAACCAACCACTCATAGAAAAGGATAGAGCTGGCTTAGACCAGTCGAGTTCTTCCCAACCCTGGCACTAGATCCAAGTCCCCTTGTCCCTAAGCTGTCATACAGTTGAGGGAAGGGGCAGAAGACAGAAGGGTGCTGGGAAGACAGACATAGCGTTTACAGTACCCATTCACCGGTGTGCACATCTTCATTTCAGTCGTGAACCTCCTGTCGCTGCAGTTCAGTACTGCCTGCTTATGCCCTTAAGATCAAGCGCTCCCTATTCTCTGCGTCACCTGATCCCACTTTGTCTTCCCAGTGTTATGTCTTACTTGTTCTTGGTCTCAGGATCTCTTTAATACTCCTGAAAGTTTTGAAGGTCCTAGGGAGCTTTTATGTATGTATGTTACAGCTACTGATACTTACTTAATTATAATGAAAACAGATTTTTAAAATATTTTTTAATTCAGCTGGGCATGATGGAGGACACCTGTAATGGCAGCACTCAGGAGGCTGAGGCAGGAGGATCACTATGAGTTTGAGGCCAGCCTGGGCTACATAGTCAGTTCAAGACAAGCCTGAACTACTTAGCAAGACCTTGTCTTCAGAAAAAGTTGTTTTTGTGAATTTATTTTAAATATAAACCCATTAACATATCACAGTTTTATGAAAAATACATCATGTTTTCCAATAAATGTTTTGTGAATTGCTTCACATTTTTTTCAAATTTTTAATGTCTGATTTAATAAAACATAGTTGGATTTTCCTGTGTGCTACATTCTATTTTGATACATAATTTTGGTTGAAATACATGAAAATCTGGCCATACAACATACCCCTAGTTTGAAAATGAAGGTACATGTATTTTAATAATCTCGTCAGGTAATTTTCATATATTCTTGTTTAACTGATATATTTTGCATGTGGAATCTGAATTTTTCATATTCTGTTACATTAAATCTGTTGAACTATCTGGCACTTTGAATAGCTTTTCCTTGTTTGGGAAAATACTGGTTCCCTAAGTTATTCAGGTCTTCCAAATATTGGCCTATTTCTTTATATTTTTAATCACATATTTAAAAACTACTGCTTTCTCTTCAGAAAAGCCTTTCAATGTTGGGAACCTGTCAACATAGAAGATTTAAAATCCTAATCTTCACTTAAACACTTAGATTTTATCATTGGCAACAAACGCTGTCATTTGTTTTTCTTGACATAATAAAAATCACATTTTTTTTTACAAAGTGCCAAATACTAGTGTAATGCCTATCATAATTTTGTCACATAAAAATGGTGCTCCATGAAAAGTTGACTTCTACTGGTTGAGAGCTTCTGCCCAGTGTGTTCTGGATCTCCTCCGGCTCTGCTGCCCCCTGCAGGCCACCCGTTAAAACCGCAAAATGGAATCTGGTTGCCTCCTCCAGCGGGTCAGGGTGGGTGTTCAGGGCAAAGGGCGCAGCCCAGCAAAGCTGCCACCTCTGCCTGCTTCTGAGGGGACTTCGGTTCCTGCACTCAGCACTGTGTCCGGAAGATAATGGACCATTATAAATCAGCAGGGTATGCTTTTCAATATAGAGAATAGAGTAATTATGATATGAAATGTTTAAAAACTCAGATTTTATCATTTGCTTTTTCCAAGCATCTATTTGATAGCACATTGTTATAAACAAGACACGCGTCCTTAAAGTTGTGACCACATTCTGGTGCCGCCTCACTGTCTGGGGAAGGCCAATACGCTAAAGCTGCTGTGGGATCTGTGCCAAAACTATTCTTCAGTATGAACTGAGATGTTGTTAACCATGAATTTTCTACCAGTAAAAACATGGAATTTATTGCCTTTCACTTCATATTAATTAAAAGCCATTATTAAAGATTTCTTTGGTTGATAATTTTTCATTGTTCTAATGAGTGTTTTCCTTTACAAGGGAGAGAGATCAAAGTGTGACTGTAATATCTTAGATCTAGTGTTATTATTTATTAGTAAATTGTCACAAGGCACTGCACTAAGTTCACAGATTGTAATTCTGCATTTGTCTTTTTTTTTTTTTTTAGTTTTTTTTTTTTTTAGTTTTTTGAGATTGGTACCTTCATTTTGGTAGGGGCAGAGGAAGGGTTTCTGCCATCTTGGTGGGATAGTAGTTTTGTAACTTTTCTTCTTCAAAGACCCTGTAATTATAGATTGTGGCTAAGTGAGATGGTCCCAGGACAGTGATGGAAAATCTTCTAGAGACTGAATGCCCAAACTACAACCCAAAACCCACTGCAGTTAAACCTAAATACTGAGATTTTGGTTTAGGGAAAAAAAAAAAAAAAACCTCATACATTAACATCTGTCTTAAAAGAAAAACAAATAACACATATCCCAGAGGTTCATCACCACTGCCCTTGGAGAGTACACATGTATGCTTCCAGACAAGTTCATTCACTTAGTGAAATAATGAACTGAAACAGGCTGTTTTTAGAAAAAATATTTGAAAAAAAAAAGAAAGAAAAAGAAAAAATATTTGAGGCCTGAATTTGCTGTTTCATCCATCCCATAAGAACATCACTGGGAGAGAGAAGTTACACATTTGTGATAATGACAAGGAAAGTAAAAATAGCATTTCTTTGGAGAAACATATCCTGGCACAATTTAAAGTGGGACTCAAATTGAAACATAGTTCTTTATGAAATGTGACTATTTCATCTTTGTCACATGTGTGGCATCTAAGTTTTAAAAGAAATCTAAGCTTTTCTTCCATCCTTTGAATTTTTTTCAAATGTGCAAAGTCAGAAATTATATGTCATCATTTTCAAAAGTCTTGTACTTCTGGCCATGTTTCACAGATAACTAAGTTATAAATATTTACACTCCAAGTGACTGAAATTTTATGCGGTTTACCTCCTGACACCAGAGTCCTCACAGAAAGAGATTACATCCACGACTCCACCGACTATCCACTCCAGCGAGAAGCGTGTGGAGTGGTTCAGAACAAGTGCTGGCCCATCACACACTGCCTGATCGGAGCCAGACTGCACTCTTTTTGCCTTTATTTTTAATATAACACTAAGAATAATACTCCCTTTCATCTTTTTTTTTCTTTTGCAGTACTGAGTTTCCTTTAACCTTTTAATAGACATTAAGCAAAGCCTTAGAAGCTGTTTTTGCTAAGTATTGTTACCACCACAGAGCAGATTAAAAATTTCAGAAAAACTGGATATATACTCTGTTGGTGTAGATAGCTTTCATTATTAGTATCTTAAATTATCTAAAGACTTGTTTTCTTTCTTTTTTTACAGACCTAACTACCATAATGAATGCTGCATATTACGAGAAACCACAAGAAGTTTAAATGTTTGGTTGTCCAATATTCTTGGATTTGATATGAACCAACACATAGTCTTTGTTGTCATTGACAGAGCCCCAGTTTGTATGTACATTATTCATATTCCTCTCTGTTTTGTTGGAAAAAGAAAGACATTTTAACCTTTTTTAAGGTTGTTGATTTAATTTCATGTTATTAGGTTGCATGATGTTGCCCTTAACCACTAAGAATTACCAAAATTTTTGCACAGACTCACACATCTAGGATCCTTTTATCAAGGCAGTTGTGTTCATTTTTCTGCCTTTACCCCACCATCACCAAACACTTAATATTTTAAGTGTTTAATATTGGCATTTTTAGGTGACCACATAATACTTACGGATGGGATTTTCTGTTTGACTGAACCCAAGAACTAATTCCTAGATACATAATGTTCATATATTGAAGATGAAATTAAATCATCCTTCAGTTTTGAGGCCATGTGTAAAGTTCAACCATCCTGTACAGTATCTATTCTGTATTAGAAATAGCTAGTTGACAGCTTATATTTCTCAAAATTCATGTTATGTACACAATCTGAGTTTTTATATGTAAAATTAGTGAGTCTTTTTTGTGTTACTCCAAAATAAAGGCAAGGATTTATTTTTTCCTCGTGCCAGTACAATTTGAGCTAATCACTCAAGATGGATACTTTACATTTTGAAGCTGAAATCAGCAGCAGCCCTATGGGAAACCAGACAAAGCATTGAATTTTAAATACAGACTTTAAAATGAACAGTTTTCTTTTTGAATCTAGAATTAAAGTAGTTAATATTCATCCACAAACCATCATATGTACATTATTGTTGCTCTTGTGATAATAGAGAATTTTTATTTCTTTTTATGCCAGCTTACATTGTGCAAACACATTTAGTCAGTTTGGGTTTTATCAATCCTGCTATGCTTGTCCTTGGGACATTTTTTCCTATATTCAAGGTTTGTAGTTGAAAAGTTTACTGTAAAAAAAAGTCAAAAACAAATTGTATTGTTTTTATGAATAAATTTATTGGAATGTGTACTGGGAGTAAGCTCTGAGGCTGTAAAAAAAAGTTAGTGTAATCTGGCTTTATATATGTAATTGTGAGGTATTAATGTAATTCCTATATTAAAGCAAAAACTGTTAAGAGCAAGTTGACAATAGAATCAAGTATAGGTAAGGGCTTTTATTTTCATCTCTCCATCCCCATTTTAATCCTTTGGGTTTTAGGTTAATTGGAAAGGAATGACAATACAATTTGCCCTCCTATCTAGGAAAATAATTACCAGCTCAGTGGACCTTAGGTTCACATTTGATATTGCTCATGCGTTTAGACCCCATTTCCTTTTGGCTTCCTTATTTTGGAAGAGAAAATCTGAGATGCTGATGCTGATGGTGGTTATGGTAACTGAGGCTACACAAGCTCCAACCCACATACCACTGCAGGGTTGTGAGTAGAAGCTGTGCTTTTGGTCTGTTTCTGTCATTTAGCAAATACTGATTTACTATACTTATTCACAAACAGTTTCAAATATGAAAAGTTCACAAAGAAAGTAGTAAGGATGGCAATTCAGTACTTTTTCCTTAAATGGTATTTTAAAATTTTGAATATTTTGTTTTAAAACTATGAAATGCTTAATTCATCAAAAGTGTTATTGTTCACACTAAAATATAAGAATAAAAACATTTTGATTTAGAAAATATAAGAGATTTTCTTAACTAAAAAGTCAAAACATGGAAATATATATAAATCATCTCAAATGTGATTTAATTTGTTTTCATAAAAGGCCAAAAAATAATTTTATTAAAAATATATGTAGAAATACAATAGAAATATTCTCAGCCAACCAGCAAAACAAATGTCCATTATGGGCAGTGATGAAGCTAATTGATCTTGCTTCATCTATTGAGACTGACACCCAAAAATCTTGTTATGAAAGCAGTTTTTAAATTGGCAGTAAATAGGGGCTAGGGATTTAGCTCAGCGGCATAAACACCTGCCCTGCAAGCAGGCAGTCATGAGTTCGATCCCCGGTACCGGAAAAAAAGAAAAAAAAATGGCAGTAAATAATAAACATTCCTTAGGAAAACTGTTTCTCAAATAGTTAAAAATATTATGATCTGCCTTTTAAATTGAAGTTGATAGTGTAACATATACATCTTATATGCAAAAGTTATTTCTCCAACCTGTAATTGCTGCTTTGAGTTTTTTATATGTACAGAACACATTTACTTCTGAGCAGTTTCAATTTTATGCTATTATAGGCAATAAACTAATTTTTCACTTACAATTATTTAATATGTACAAACAGAATCTTGAGATACATGGTCAGGTTTATTTGCAGGCAATTTTGATGTATTTCTTTAAACAAACTTACTCAACAACTTCAGTTTTCCTTCCAAAAAGAAAAGAAAAGTTACCCGCTATACAGTATTACAGCTCACACATACAGTGCAGAGTAAGAATTTGTGTTTTCTTAACTGTTGTGTTTGAGAAGGGAGTGAAATGAGGAAATGATCAGTACCAGTGTAACAAGTCAGTACTCTGGAGAGGAAGAACATGGTATACCATTTTTATTCCACTTTTTCATCTGACTTTCTTTTTATGAAGAACTCCGGTTTGTAGATACAACGATAGGCCAAGAGCTGAGGAAGAACTCCATATGCTATGTTTAATACTAAAAAAAAGATTTTCGCTTCTTCAGGGACTCTGTAGACATAAGCAGTTCTAGCATGGAGAGAAGCACCAATGTGAGAAAACTGAGCCTGTTGTATTGGGGAAAAAAAAGAGGGGAAGAGTATAAGCATGAAATTTATCTCCAATGGGATGAAGGGTAAGTTCTGGACAGCTATTTCAGACCCTTTCTGTGCCCTCACAAACAGCCTCTAGGGCATAATAACACCTTCAGATAACCCTAATCTTTAATATGAGAGTCTTTCATTACATCTAAGGCCAGTCTTGATATCTGTTCAAATAAAGTATACTTTGTATAGTGTAGCTATATCATGTCAGTTCTGTTTTCTAATCTACCCAATACCCCGTATCAAATATTAGTGGCTCAGTTCAACAGAAGAAAATTTTTGTTTCCTGATTTGGATTCTGTAGATTCTACAGAGAAACTCAGCTGTAGCTTACAAGTTATTTTCCAGTAGAAATAAAGTACAGAGTTTTAAAAACTAAAATATATTTAATAAATTATTTAAGAAGAAGCACTAAAGAACTCGGCTTCATTTATCAATCTTTCAGTTACTCCTTGGAGCAAGTAACTGAGCAAAGCTCTTTTGTTACATATTTTTATTTATTTATTCATGTATTTGTTTTTTATGCAACTTAAAAAATATTAAGGATTGTTTTGTATTATAAGGTTAGCAGCAGGGTAGGGGTAGGAGTATGATTGCTCTTTGTAAAATGGCAAATACATGGGCAGACAGCCTTTTCAAATCAAACTAATTTATTTAGAAGTATGACTTGTCAGTGTAATCCAAGTTTGCAAAACGGAAAGGCAAGGGCCTCCCTCTACTTGTACACTTGTTCAAAACATGCATCAGAATGTACCAGTTGGTCTTTATATATACTTTTCATAAGCACAGAGGAAGCCTATGGCCAGCCACAGCAGAATTAAAAAGAGAGAAGAGTTCTACAGAAAGCTTGTCTCATTACAGAATGCAGCCCCTACATGTACATTTCATGTCTTGCTGAAATCCAAGATACACATGAATAACAAATTAGGAACCTGAAGGTAATAAATTATTAGTTCAGCTGGGTCAAAGTGAAAAAATAAAGGACTACCAACTAGAGAAGACACAGAAGTAACCAGGATGAATAAATAATTTACTTTAAATATATTTAAGTTACCTAACATCTCCTTCCATGTGAAATCAGTTGACTCGGTGAGTGTTACCACTTAACTGCCATGACAAGAAAGGGGCAAGCTTTTATAAGCAGCATGTTTATGAAATTTGTATCAATAGTGAATATTTTAATGGGCTACAATTTTACGAATTAGTGGTATATTCTGGATACCTCTGGTACGGTTTTGCTATTTTCTGGAGATAGAATTTAGATTACTGTGGTGTGTTTCCAAGGACCAACAGGTGGATTGTCTGCATTGAGAGTCACGGGCACTAAGGGCTCTGCGCTCATACGCACCTCCCCAGGGCAGATACCAGACAACCTAGCCAATGCGTTTGCCTCCCTGGGCTGCAGCCACAAATGACCTTCAAAATAAAGGGTACTTTGGGGACTGCCCTGAGGAGCTGTGGACATTCTAGAAACTCTGAATAGGAGCATGGCTCCTGTCACTGTTTTTCTCTAGGGCCTTTTTGAATGACTTTTTCTGAATATATAACTAAACTTTCTGGACTACCGGCCAGTTTTGAACCCTAGTTTTCAGAAATATGGGTTTGGTGGCTTTATAGATACTTGTGTGCATCACAAAATCAAAAGATTTTGAAAACTGCCCACTGTCCTTTCAGAGAATAAATAACGAGCAGTTGTGCCTACTGCCTGCATAGGAAAACCTCAAAATGTCAATGATTCCGTAGGCCCTTGACCTGCACTGACCGTGCAGCTAATACCTCATTTTCACAGACAGCAAACCATGGCAACATTAAAAACAGATTCATGTCCTTAGATTAGATTGTAAGCCCACCGGGCAGGTACTGTGTCTGATGTTTTGTGTGGCACCTATCACATTGTTACAGCTCAATAAACGTTCAACAACAGTGGTCTTGTGACTGTCCAAATACAAAAAGGATCTATAAAGAATTTCTGATTTTTATACCTATTTTACTGGGCTATTCTGTTTAAAATTATTAAAGGAAGGGTAAAGATTTTAACACTCCTAACCAGAAGTGTCTGTGTGAGGGAAGCATCCTGAGACCAGTTGTTTACACCCCTGCTGCAGCACAGTTCCAGTGGGTATGTTTGTAACAGCCACACCTCCTACATCGCGCTCCTCCCAGGGCCTACCGTGTGAAGCGTCCAGGGGTCTGAAGGTTCAGGAAACTGCCTTACCTGAGGATGATTCCTTACTAAAAACAAAGTTCACAAGGGCTGCAAAATCCCCTGGGTAGTGATACCATGACACAGGGCCTCCTGACAGTGGCCTTAAGTGCTGAGCCTGGGTGCTGGGTGGCAGTTAGGTGGCGGAGTAAACTCTGTGCTACAGAAGTTCTGAACCCCAATAATTTCTCCAAATTCAGTGACATAAAATTGATTCCCTAGTCACCTCTGTTTCATTCAAAAAGTTTTTCAACCATGCAGAAATGAGATGAACTCTGTTTGTTTAGGAATATATGAGTGGGACAGAAAATAGAGCAATAAAGGTGAACAAAGACTGACATTGCAGTAACTCTGTACGATTTCATAGAGACAAGGTGGAAAGAATGACTAAAAAATCATTCCTGGCTCCAGAAGAAAGAATTGAGTTTTCAGTGCTCACATGAATCTTATAAGCAAAAACTAATATGAACATTAGAGCAGTCACTAGGCTATTTGGCGAATATTGTATAATACCTAACCCTGAACCGTGCTATTTTTTCTTAGGGTTTTCTGAGCAGCATAGTACAGTGAGTGGTTCAGAACACTGACCCTGGAACAGATGGCCAGAATCAGATTCCAACCCCAGCACAAACCATCACAAAGGCCTCACATGAGACATGTGACTTTGGTTTCCTTACCTGTGAAAAACATGAAACCTACCTCACAGGTGGTTATGAGGGTTCAGTGAGTTGAAATTTGTCACGTGCATGTGACCATGCCAAGCACATGGGGCTATTTGTGTATAGATACAAAACTCAACTGAAATACCTGTTCCTGACCTGCACTCTGCTCTTTGTTTTTAGAGCTCCTTGTTGATCTTTTGACTGTCGGTGTTGCCATCAAAGGATAATAATCACATAAAGATGTTAAACTCAAATTCTAATTTTAATTCTAAATGAAGATACTTGGTATGAATCACACCAGAAACAAATGAGTAAAATGAATTTGTATTACCCTCTCAATTATCTGTGCTCATAAACATTTACTTTCAGGTGTTTCTTAAAGATTTCCATGAAGGAAAAAACATGAAATTCACTTCTATTAGTGAATACTGTCCAAAACCAATCTGCACCCTTTGTGAGGAAGTTCATGGTATCTGCACAGTCAGGAGTGGCAGAGGCTACGGGCAGCGGGCGAGACAACATGTCCCAACCAAAGCGGAATTGGTTGTGCTTTGATGGCTGAGAACCCACTGTGTATCACTCCATAGCTCACTTTCTTTGATGCTTAGGTCATTATATATAATACACATCATTAATTAAATGGTCTACAGATTGATTAATCACTCGGTAACAAGGCATCTCTCCAAATCCTTGCAGGTACTTTTATACTGATAGAATAACAGTAATGGCAACCAAGAGTTGCCTGGCTACCATGTGCCAGGCACTATTCTTGGCCCTTTACATACATCACCTCGTAATCCTCACAGCAACACCTTGAAAACAGTGCTGTTAGTATTCTCACTGTGCAGAAGAGGAAACTGATGACCTTCAAGGTAAAGTAACCAAGGTCATTAAATTAATCAGTGGCAGAATGGGATTTGAATCAGTCTGTCTCCAGAGTGCCTGTTCTTGACCATACTAATTTTATTAACCCTGTTTCTCATTTTCAGTGACATTTGAACATGATACACTCATCTGCTCCTATCAGCAGGTTCCAGGACTCTGCACAGATGCCAGAATTCATGGCTGTATAAGTCCCTTTTATTAAGTGGCATGGCATTTGCACACATCCTGTCACAAACTAAATCATCTCTACATCTAATACAGTGCAAGTGCTATGTAAATAGTTACATTTAAGGATAATGACAGGAAAAATCTACACATGCAGTACAGTTTGGACCATCATAGGCCTAACAATATGTTTTTATCTGCTGTTGGTTGAATCTACACATACAGAGAGGCCACGGCTACTTCAGTTGATAAAAAATAATGTTAACTGGATTGAAGAAGCCTGCAGCACTTTTCCAATGAGGCTTATGCCTCCAGTCCTACAGTAAATACTGTATGAAGAGATGGTTGGTTATAAATATGTCCCAGTAGAACTCTGGTCTAAAAAGTGTGCTGGCTTTATTTCAGTTTTTCAGTGAATTTTTTAATTCTGGAGATGGAGTTGTCAGGCTTCTACACAGTCAGAAATCAAGGACTCTTAAGTACCCAGTATGTCTTCCTAATCTTTGAGCTATCCTGATCTAGAGCTTTTCAAGGATCTTTTTTCTTATTAAATTACCTACAATCTTGAGAGGACACTAGATCTTTTAGTAAAAGCAGAGTTTGATTACGTTAGTAGAGTTGTGAATGGATAAGATATCTAAATTAGATGTAGTTTTAGCAAGCAAGGGGCATGGGTTAAGTTTCCAGAGACTGCTTTCCTGATGAATGTATCAAACATCCTTCTAACTTGAGGCCATTTCATAAGTAAATATTTGCTAAGAACAAAACGTCACAGAAATCCAACATTCTGACCATATGCATTATTATGTTGCAGTATTTGAGATAGGGCTTAACCCTGAGCTAAATCCCCAGTTCTACTTACTTATTTTAAGTTTTGAGACAAGGATTTCACAAATTGCCCAGTCTGGCTACAATCTGAAATCCTGCCTCAGCTTCCCAGAGTGCTGGAATTACAGTCGTACCACCAGGACCAGCTTGTTGCATATTATTTCTAACTCTCCTTTAAGGTAAACACTATGCATAAGTAGATATTAAAGCACAACCAGAAACACTAAGGCTGTCAACACATAATTTGTGAATTACGCCACTCTACCTGCTTGGTTGAGAGCAACATCTTTGTGACATTTACAGGACCTAAGCTCAGCCTCAACCTCTGGGCACTCACCCACAAGACAGGGGCTTCAGGCCACTTTGTCAAACTAGCCAATGGTATGTAAACCCAAGGACCCCTGCAAGGCCTGAAGGCTGCTGAAGCTGCCACTGCATACTGTCCATACTGCTGTGCCCATTACCACCCGGCCAGAATCCCAAGTGCCCTTGTTCAAGCTGAGCTTCATCAACAGGTAGCATCTGGGGTTGTGTTACTGTCATAGGCTCTAACACTTTTTACCCCAAGGCAGTGAGCTTCCTAAGCTGCCTGGCCTCTTGCCCTGGCCACAGGACTAAGCCTTTGCCTGGGTTTGCCTGCCTAGTTTTTCACTTATCTCCAGAGACTTGATCAGGTCCCACATGCAACCTCCTTTGCCAGCCTCCAACAAGAGGGCACTCACATCGTGCCTCAGCAGCAGGAGGCCCCACTGAGAAGTACAGTATCAAGTACTGCTGGACTCCAAACAGTCTATAAGGAAAAGTTTGCAAGAGTGAGGCAACTGTGTGCCCCTCTGTGCTGGTGGATAAGGGAAGGGAAACAAGGCTTACCTTGCCCTGTCTCTGCCAGACAACCATATCTAAAGGTTCCTCCCATCACTCCCTGGGAGGCTCAGCCAAAGAAGGTCCCGCTCAGATGTGAGCAGCACGCTGCCCACCCCAGAGCTTCTCCAACTCCTTGTCACTCATAAAGGCTTTCTGCTTCAGGACTCTGTGCCACAGCTGTTTGCAGGGACGGGAGGTAACAGTGGAGACTGTGGGCTCTGCATCCAGACAGGATTTCTGCCATTCAGTAACTGCCACCTTGATCAAATAACTCTAGCTGTCCTGAGCTTCAGTTTCCTCATTTTTAAATCATGATTTAAAAAAAAAAAGTCTGCCACAAAGATAATACTGTGCACTCACCGTGCTGTTTCATGAGGCTCCCAAGACCACATTTATCAGCCTTCCTGCACCTGAGCTGTTGCTAGCCCTGGCCCTTGAGAATATCTGTCCGCCATGAGCTTTACACAAGCAAGAAGTAAAACCAGGCTGAGGTAGCTGCTGAACACTTACCATACAGCATAGTGCACAGCCTGTCCTTAGTTAAGTGAAGTGCTGAGCAGGGTTTGCCCAGCAGAAGGCAGCACCAAGAATGCAGGCTGGTACCGCATCAGTGAAGCTGGAAGAGGGGATGGATTTGAGAACTGCCCTGGAGACATCTAGTTTGGAGCTGGCTGAGAGGTGGGTGGGATGGAGAGAGGAGGGGAAAGAACCGTCCACCTTCTGGGCTTGGGCTGCTGGATACAAGGAGGGACTGTTTCCAAAGATGATGGCGACACAAAAGTTTTTTGGAGGGGAAGTCCTATATTAATCTAAATCTGACCTGCTAGCAAGACATCAACTGAAGTGAGTAAGTCTAGAATTAAATGAAGGAGTCTTGAAAGCAATTTCAGCTGAGGAAATTGGAAGTCCTCAACTAATACTTGGTATAGAACTATATGGAAATAAAAACCCAAAACCAAAATCTGAAGAATAGGGCATTTCAAAGTCTGCAAAGAGGGGAATAAGTTATAGTCCTCCTCCAGAACACAAATCATTTCTTCTAGATGCTGTATCATCTTCTAAAATGAATATTCTAATTTTATAATTACTGCCTCAGACCAGAAAGCCCTATAAATACTATTAACCTTTCAACACTAAATTTAGTGTCTTTTGCCCTTATGGTTACCATACCATGAGTATATATTTAACCTAACATTTCTCAATGAGTCTGCTTTTTAACTTGCTTGAAAAAGCAAGACAGGGCCTGGGGATTTAGCTCAGCGGCATAAGCACCTGCCTTGCAAGCAGACAGTCGTGAGTTCAATCCTTGGTACTGATTTAAAAAAAAAAAAAAAGATTTTTAAAAGGATGGGTTATTTGGCTTTTTAATTTTTTCAGTAAAAAATAAAAATTACTTAATATCCTTCCTTGTTCAGAAGATTATTTTGCTGCTGGTTATCTTATAAAAATGTGCTTTGGTAATTGCATAGATAATTTCATTTCTAGTTTGATATAGTGAGCTTTCACTGAACATACTAAACACTGTCCCTCATGAGACAGGGACTCAGCTAGGTACCAGAAGGAGGAAGGACTGGCAGGCCCAGCTTTCCAGGAGCAGAGCCTGTTTAAACCAGTTTCCCTAGTTGTATAAATAGTATAGCAGAATCGTGAAACCTTAAATCTAGATAGACATCATGAAAATAACAGCTTGAGGGCCTTTTTCAGAAAACATTTCAAAGATTGGGAAAGAGCCCTACAAAACAGCAGTGCCACTTGCTGAGTGTGCCCTTGGGCAAAGCATTTAATATAGACGGACCTCAGCTTCTCCTCACTAGATGGCACATCTTTTAGATAGTTATTATGAGACTCAAATAGAATACATATGCAGGAACATTTGAAAAGCTATAAAACAAAGCTTGTCTCATTAACAATTGCCTACTCTAAAACACTGAGCGGATAGTTGTCATATATCCATCAATGAGCACTAGATCAGTAAACTCTCAAAATACCATGTTAGTACCTGAGCTAGACCTCCAGCATGTATCAGTGTTATGTCAGGCATCCAGGAGCATCCAGGAACCACTAGGCCATAAAGCGCAATCACAAAGTAAGGAACAGAATAGAACATATACGCCAGCATCTGCATTGAACAGAAAACAACATCAGAAAATTAACAGCATGTCCTAAAAAATGTACAAAAATTAACACCTTCAAAGATAACAAAACGTCTATTCCTATTCCCTGTACAGGACCACCTCTAACCATTAGAGAGAGATAATTAAGTTTAGAAAAAAAAAGTCTTAGGCATCATACTACTTGACCTGAATTTTAGGATAAGCTGCAGGATCCTTTAGGTAGGGCTCTTCAAATTGTGTATACAATCGGCAGAGCTCAGCTGGGCAGTCCAAAGCAATCTAAGAGCAAAAATGAATTCATTATAAAGATACAATCACTTCTGGTTCTTAGGTTTGCTGATAAGGCTAAATGTGCCAGGTTTAGTCACAAGCTGCTTTGCTACTTAATAAAAACTATGCACTGTAGAGGCTCATTGGGGAAAGTAAAGAAAGGAAATATTTTGCAGACTATCTAAGGAGATTAAGCAGAGGTTAATAGTGGAGCAGGAAATGGAAACTAAAGCTTTATTCTTGAGTTTCAACAATTTACAGATTAAGTATCTAGGTTTGGCTAGCCAAAGCATAGTTTGCTTTAGATTACCGGTTTCATTTCTCCTGGGAATATCTAGCCCACTAGTCCCTACAAGAAAGAAAACATATTTCTATGCCAAATTCATCTTACTATGCTTTGCAAGATTCAAAAAAAGCATCCTCCTCTCTCCAGGGCCTCACAGAGTGTGTGGCCTTTGGGGGCAGTAAAGGGTAACGATTTGAAAGCACGGTCCTCTTGACTGAAGCCACCTCCTGTGTCCACTTTGAAAGAGAGCAGAGCAGATTTAGTCTCAACAGAGTAGACTTAGGCCACAGAATAGACAAGTGTCTCTTTGACATATCACAGGGTCCCCTTTGAGTCATCCTCCGCCTCGGGCACTATTCCCCCTAATCTTTGCCCATAAGTGAAATGTCCCACCTGAGTAACAGGACACAGGCCTGTGGCAGAGTTGGTAAAGATGGGCCCCAGCCCCCAAAGTCCCACCAACTATGCACACATGTTCTCCTCAAGTGCAAGGGAGGTGTTTATGGCCACACAGGAGTACAATTGGATGTCTATTGTTGTTTGAAATTTCAGAATTACAGCAAACAAAGACGAATATCAGGCATCTGAACAAAGCCTACAGCACTGCCTTCCCTTTGTTCCTTCTCTTCTTAACCAACTCTTAACAATTCAGGCAACTTCTTACCCTGAACCCTCAAGGGACCACATAAGCCTCTTACTGCCCAGGGACCCCGCAACAATGAATTGGCGCTATCACCTTACACTTGCTATTCTGTTCCCGAATAGTGTGGTGCAACCTAGCAGCCTCAGGATAATTAGCAGCTGTGTCAATGAAACTGAATAGAGTTAACCAAATCATTCAGAGTGGCTCAAATTATTTCTGCTAAGAATAAATTATGAAGCTTGGATACTGTGAAGGCTGACTGATCAATTAAAATATTAAAATCCATCATTGATTGAACAATTATAAGACCTTCCACCAAGAATTTTATGTGCTCTGTCTTATCCTCAAAACACAGTAAGATGGGCAGTAATATTTTAGGACACAATGGTAGGTCAAGAAATGCATTTTTCCAAGGCCACACACTAGTAAATGGCTAGGAATCCAGCTCCAAATCTGAGAGACCTCTTTCTTATCCTTTATGCTATGAGAATGATAAAGAGAACATAGAAAACAATGATATGCCCAGATTCCCTTACTGCTTATCAGTTGCATCGATGCAAAGACTGTGAACCTCAATTTAACCTAGTCCACACTGTTCATACCAGAGAAACTCACAGGGCCCCGAATACGCGTGCATTGTTGGTTTGGTGCTCCTTCTGAACCTAATCACCCCTGCTCTCTGAGAACACACGGGTGCTCTGTGCCACAGGTACACCTGGACTTTAGGGTCATCCAGGCCACAGTCTTTACATTTAAATCAGAAACATCAAAAGAATGAAATTCTAATGGCTATTTTTTTCAGATATCCTAAAACAAGGGAAGATATTTCTGAATAGAGCTTGAGCCAAGGACCTGAGAAGTAATGAAACCACTCAGAATGAGCCACCCCTTGGGGACAGAGGGTTGAGATAGGAGAGTGTCAGGAAGCAGGTCCAGAGCTCTAGTGTCTAATGAAAGGCATATTTTGTTTGCTGAGAAGTCTGAAAAAAACCAAAAACCTATTTCTGTGTTTTGTCCATTCAGAAGAATTAATAGTATAATAATGATTTGTCTGTTTGTTAACTGAGCCTGAGTCTCACCATATTTCCCAGGCCGATTTTGAACCCCTAAAATCAAGGGATACTCCTGCCTCAGCATCCTAAATAGCTACAGCCACAGGCACGCATCACTACAGCTGGTTAGTGTTATTTTGATCTGTTATGCTTACCAAGCCTCTAAACAGGCAAAATCCAGTTGCCAGTAGCAGACATATGACTAGCATTAAATCAAATGGTCTTCTCAGCAGGTCTTTTGCTTGAGCTTCTTGGATGACCTGAAATAGAGTTTATATCTAAAGAGCAAGTCCAAAATGCCAAAGAAGCATTTGAAACCTACTGACACACTGAATGCTGTGATGGTGGATAAGGACAGGATTTTGAAGATTCACAATTTATATCTTAAACCATCAGACTTTCAGGGCAGTCATTTGCCCCCTGAAGACCTGGTTTCCTTTTTTTGTGAAACAATGAGATTGGCCCAGGTGATCCTGAAGGGTGTTGCTAGCTCTGAGTCCACATTTCTTTCTTAAAATAATATTTTCTTGTTTATAAAGTTGAGATAAACTCATTTGAAAAGTACAAATGCTTTAATTCTGCCATATCACTAGTAATAGGTGATACACTTTTACAGTCATGTGTATTTTTACATATATAAATTCACATATATATGTATGATATTTTCTACAGAATTAAAAATAAACATTTTACATTCTTTTGTCACTCAGCAACTACCTATATGATAAGCACTGTGAAACATTATTAAAAATTCAAAAACCAGAGGCAGGGATTTAGCTCAGCAGCTCAAGTGCTTGCCTGGTAAGTGTGAGGTCATGAGTTCAAACCCCAGTATAAGTAGGCCAAAAATTCAAAAACCTAATAATGTATGGAAGTACCACACTTTTTCTATTCCCACTCAGAAAATCTAGGCAATTTTCCAAATCAACATTCAATGTAATGGGGAGCAACTTTGTCCATAAATCTCTGACAGCATCTCTCTAATCAGGCCCTCAATGTAGGATTATTAGGTTGAAAGGTTAAATTTTGCAAGGCTGACAGCAGTGCTAAATTGCTTTGTAGGGCAATTCTGTTCCTATCAGCCCTGTGTGACAGTGTTCACTGTCCTGTCACTGTGTTTCACTATTAAAATGCTAACAAATGGTTCTGTGTCGAAAGACATGAACACTCTGTGGGCACATGGACTTGGAGCATTTGGAAACAGGAGCCACGGCTAAGGCTAGCCCTACTGTTCACTGTTCTATTTAAGAACAATGTCATTCTTCAAAGCAATGAAAAGGCATACCAGTCATCAGTGGTCCAGCCTGGGTTTATACAGTGGGTATCTGAAGGTCTATACATGAAGGATGGGGACATTAAAGTGGATCTGAGGGCTGGGGGTGTATGTTGCTCATGGGTAGAGTGGATACATAGCATGGAGGAGGCCCTAAGTTCAATCCCTAGACCAGAAAAAGGAATTTTAATGAATTCTATTATAAGTATTTGGTAAAATGAATAACTGTATTCTGATTATTTAAGAGTTTATATTTTCATGTCAATTTTGCTTAAAATATTTTGCCTAAGGATTTAATACCCATAAGTGGAAAAGAAATTTAGGAAGGTATCACCAGCTTAGAAATGAAGATTTTAACAGTGTCTGCCAGGCCAGGCTTGTTTCACCGTGACTACTTTGGCAGTGAATGGCAGGAGGTGTCTCAGACAAGGGCCACAGCCAGTCTCCAGGTGCCTGGATCTCTTGCGAATCAGACCCTGTAGCTATGTGGACTACACTGAACAGCAGTAGCTCGCCAACCTCCTCTCAGAGGAACAATAAATGCGTAGGTACTACTTAAAGACATGCTCAAAATCCAGGTCATTTGCAACCCCAGACAAACCATATAGTCCAGACTTCCTTCCTGCACTATAGCAAACATGATGCTAGGAGCCAGTGTGACCATTGGCACAGGAGTTGCCGGAAGTACAATTTGGCCAATCAAATCAGACATATTCAGGCAGAAGCAGATCACCTTGGCACTCAACTAACACCACACAAGCAGCCAGGTGCACTGACTGTCCTGGATGCTCCAGTGCTCGGAGGCACAATTAATTCAGTGGCCCATGCATATATGTGAGCCCTGTGAACTAGAAAACAGGCTATGTTTAAACTCAGGAAAAATCACCTTTGAAGGATAATTATAATTTTCTGATGGCTGATTATAGATTCTGAAACCAGCCCATACAGGAAGACAAGTGTATGGTATGCTTAAGAAAAAAGCCGGGCATATTCGTGTTCCATACTTCCCTGTTTAAAAGAGAAAAAGAGAGGAAAAAGTCAAAGATTAAAGCATACCTCAACATAAATATTATTTAGGATACCTCTCAAATCATGTAAAATTTTACTAAAGGCCAGATAATATTTTAATGAGATGAAGAAAAACAAAGGTCACTTAAAACAATTAGATGTTTATTAACAGGCATGTCATATATACAGTATTAAAAAATACAAGTAATATCCTAATTTATTGCATATCTAAATAACCTCTTACTTTAGGCTTCAAGAGTCTTAATTTCCAAGTACATTTATCAAATTCCCATATCATGTCAGAGGTAATATGTAATAAAGTGTTGTACTAAATTACCTGCCACTAAATGTCACAAATCCCATAATTAGGATCTCTAGATGCTTCCAAAAATTTAGGAATCACTGATACTTGACTAATTATCTATTTCACATTATTGACAACTGTTCAAAATCACTAAGGAGGAGAGATAATGGAGGGGAGTAGGAATGATTTGCAAAATGGGTTTTTATAAGCTTGGAATCTCTTGGTTATATCATAACCAAAACAAATTTGTTCAAGAAAATCCCCATTATTACAGAAAAGGAAAGTGAATTTAAAGATAAAGTTCCTTACCTACAATGTTTCCGGGCACAAAAACAACTATGCTCATGATAATAGATCCAACCCAATATAAGCCAATGGTTCTGTAACTTTCCCTGTAACAAAAAAATCTCGACTTAGTACACTTGTCTTGCAATACTATAAGCAAAAGATCCTCGATGTTATTTTTTATTCTAATTAGCAAATTACATGGACTGAAACATTGAAAGAAGAGAAATACATTAAGAAACTCTGGTGATCAAACCTCATTTTCTTACGTGATATTCCACAGAACTTTTTTGTCTCTTTTTAAACAGAAATTCATACTTGCTACGCTGAGCTGCAGCTAAGCCTCACCCTGGTCATCCTGGTCACAGACTCCTGCATTTCTCAACTATGTAGGAAACTCAAAGCATGAAACAGCAGAGTAAGCTTCAAAGAAGGACACTGGATCCACACTCTAATTTACTGTAAGTATGACAATAGTATCTAATCCAATCTGTGTGTGTGTGTGTGTGTGTGTGTGTGTGTGTGTGTGTGTGTGGTGCTGGGAATCAAATACAGTGCCTTGTGCATGCAAGGCAAGAGCTCTACAACTGAGCCACATCCCCAGCCTGATGATAGCACATAAAATGGAGTTTGGTCAACAACGTTGGCCAAAGCATCAAAGGTAGAGATAATACCTGACACACACCCCACGTTCTGGAGCAGCAGCTAGACATTTACCACAATCTTCTGTGCTGACAGAATGTTGCTTCAACTGATAACCCAATAACTCAACTCCTTGCTAAATAAGAGGCTATGAGAAATTCAAAAGGAGATTTTGTGAGGGTAAATGGAAGTAGAAAACTCTGTGCTTTTTGTCCCATCCCAGCCCCCAAGCCAGTGAGGCTGACAGATGGTCACAATGACATGGATTGCCAGCAGGAGGACAAACAAGAATTAGCTGGAGCTGTCCTGGAGCACATAATCAATAGAAAGAGAGAAAGCAAATGAAGCTGTGTGTAAGCCCTGCATGGGACACAGATGTGTGACTGTCCGACCTGGAACCAAGTGGAGGCCTGGGAATGTAGCTGAACTTGAGCCACCTTGGAGAATCCCTTCCCAGAGTGCACCTTGTAGGATACAGTAAGGCACCGAGGGCAGACTACCAACGGTGTGAGAGTCACAGATCCAACCAGAGGGCATTGCTTGCGTGGGAGCAGGTGCCATGCAAGGGTTCCTGCTATAGAGGTCTCCACAGTACTCATACGACCCAGCTAACGTTTCAAGACAGAAAGTCCTAGTACCAGAAAACAGCAGCTGTCCCATAAGACTCCCCCTTTTCCTTTAATCCTGTGGATGCACATACTCCCAGAGGAGCCAGGCACACAGGCAAGAAGGAAGAGGACAAGTGGACACAAGCACTCAAGAGTGAAGTTACATCTGAACTGGGGTTCAAGCTTTGAACTGAAACAAGGTGGTTAAAGTTTTCATTCAGAATGTGTGAGCCTTTATTTCCTGCAAATGAAACGATTGTTCTTAGAAGAAACATAATCAGGAAACATAGGAATCAGACCATCTGAGCTGTCACCACAGTTGGGGAGCAATCCAGGGACAAACTCAAAAGGCAGTGGTGCAAGGAAGTAAAGCATACCTAACTTGTACCGCTGGCACTTTCATTCTATCTACTGTTCCTGTTTGCTTCTGTTCACAGGTTTTCCTTACATACCCATTTATCAATGGCAACGGCACACACACCAGGCGAACTGACTTACTCCCATGCTATCGCCGCCACCATCACTAGGTACATCAGATAATGAGCAGAGCCATCCCAGTAGCAGATCATGTGCCCATAGGCAGTGTTCAGATAGGGTTCACCCTGAGGAAAGCATTAAAAAAGAAATGCACTTTAAATAAGATACAAACATTTCAATGCAAAACACCAAAACTGTACTCCAAGTAGAATAAAACAGAACTATCAGATGTAAGTCTGCAAGGATGAAACTATTCCAACGTAACTGTGAAACAAAGACAGCGGTGAGTGACAACCGATGCACTGGCACCAAGGCACACCTGTGAATCCAGGCGCTTGGCCGTAGCCAGAGGAGTGACCAGGGAAGACGCTGCTCACCAGAGCTAGGCTGGCTCAACCATGCACCCCGACCCACATACAGGGCTGGGCTGGACTGGGCACAGGGAGGCGCTCACACCTTTTTACATGAACACACATGGCACTGGACTCCGAGATTCCCACGGACTTCTCACCAGCCTTCCCAACAACCCATATGGGGTACATGTGACTTACAGACTCGGAAAGGGAGGCCCCAAAAGATCACATAGCTAATATGTGGCCAAAAAAAAAAAAAGAAAGAAAAGGCTATCTTTCTGAGAAGGCTATACTTCTGAGAAATGTGTAATTTCCTACATTTTCTGAACACAAATTGTATGATGAACTACATTTTCTTTTTCCAAGTGTCACATTTGCAGGTGGCTGTTAGAAAATCACTGTCCAGGGTGCACGAGTTTTTGGTGTTGCCCAACCTCTGCTTGGCCTTCCTGTCCTCCTTCTCCTGAGTGTGCTTGCCTGGCTCGTCCTGCATGACGCCCTGGCCATGCACCCTTTCTTCAACAAAGAGGAGTGCAGATGAACCAGCCCATCAATAGCCAACCGAGCGCTTCCCTGGAGCAAGCTCTCTCATCTCCCCACGAGTCAAATCAAGTTAAAATAACAGCAGAAACATAACAGTGGAAACACTACCAAAACTGTGTTTCTGTCTGACACTGTTTGCCCCTGACATGTTCTGCCTGGATGATACCATCTGATTTCATACCCGGTCATCTGTGCCACACAGATGGGCACTTAGCCAGCACCAGTTTCTCTTGGTAGCTGATAGTGTCTTTAACCAGAAGTCCTCGGGCTCTTCAAATGCCCCTGAACTTTAACTCATCAGCTTCTCCCTCAGCCAACCCGCCTCTCTATTTGGATGGCAGTGCCACTTGGCTTACCCTGGATAAGACACAAAGTCATTATTTTATTCCTTACTTTCTTGTACAGGCTTGGCAAATCCTGTCGATTTTATGTGCACGGTATCACCCCCAGGGAACTCTCCCTCTCTGGCATGGTCTAGGTCAAACCTGAGTCTGCACTGGCCCACTGTGGCATTCCCAGTGGTCTCCCTGCCCTTCTCCTCCCTCCTGGAACCCACAACACTCCTGCTTCCAGGTGAATATTCATGTGGCGGCTCTGGACCCTGTCACTCCTTGCTCTAACACCTCCCATAGCCTGTCACTGCCTGAAGGACTGAGCTCCCTCCCCTCAGACAGTCACTGGGTCCCCAGCCTGGGCCTGCCGAGCTTGCTACCATTTCACCTCAGTTCCTCTTCCCGTTCTTCACTGACCACAGTGCCTGCCATGCTCCTCCTGGAGCCACCGTCCTCGGGCACAGTGCCCCACCCTCCCTTTTGCCTCCTTGCCTGCCCCTCTAGATCCACTTCAGACTCCCTGGTGCCCACTCCTGGTCCCAGTCCTCAGAGTTCTGACCGCAGGCTCTTCACTCTCCATCATGGCCCCTCAAACTGCTGCTACCAACTGTAGTCATGTGGCCCCCAACCTCCCTGCCAGGGCTGTTCCTCAAGACCTGCAAAACCCTCCCAGCTGGGATATGTGCCAGGACGTCCCTCGAGCACCTGAAACTCCACGAGTCCCCAAATGAACTGAGCATCATGTCTGCAAACCTACGCCCCAGGCAGACAGCATTCTCCTCCCCGAGCCCCTACTCAGGCTGCCCCTTCTGTTTAGAATGCCTTCTACATCCATGGTCCAGCCAAAGACAGCTGCCATCCTCTCCTGTGACCACCTTTACAGTGCTATAGCAGGGTCCGCAGGTCCTCCACAGCCATCACCAGAGTTCACTGTGCTGTGCCTGCAGGGAGCCTCTGTCACTGCACTAGGACAGTGCTGGGTGCCCACATGGAGCACAGGAAGCGGGTACTGCAATTCCATGATCTGCTTTAGCAAATGTCTGCAGAACTGAAATCCTTCTTGCTTGCCTCTCTGATGGAGTAACACCAGCTTTCTTCTAAACTCCAATGTAAGAGTCGGGAAGCCATCTTGGGCCTGACCACTGCAGTCATCCTGAGCATAGTACCACTTGGATTCTCTGAAGTTCTCCCCTGTATTTCCAGATGCTGTCTCTGTCCAACCACTGTCACACCAAGCTGGCCCTGCAGAACCCCCTCTTTGTGTTCTAGCTCTGGACATTGACCCTTCCCCACAAGCCCACCCCCCAGAGCTGGTCTCCTTCCCCAATTTAACGTTTCCCCTTATGCATAGGATGACATCCAAACTCCCACTGTCTGAAATGCAGATGAAAACCACATTTGCAGCTCTGCCCCTTATTTCCTGTGTGACATGAGTAAGTCACTTCACTTTCTGTGGCTGGATTCAGCCCATCATAAAATAAGAAAACAAGACTAGTTCCCTCTCACCATAATTAAATAGCTTAATCACCTCAACATTTGGTATCTTACAAATTTAATAGTAATTTTGGATTGCTGAGATTTTAATATATTGGCAGATATACAAATACTAAATTCACGGAGAGTTCCACATTTAAGGGAAAAGATAGGTCACAAGCTGTGACAGGAGTGAGGGGGGATCATGAGAGAAGGTTTGCTGCTTCTCATAATCGCATCTCACTTTTGGGCTTTACCTGTCACTGAGTAAGCAGCCTGAGCCTACACCAGGAAACAAACCTGCTCACAGATCAGAGGACCCAAGTCCAGGCCAGGCTGCAGCCTGCTGGCCTGCACCTTACCGCCTCCAGGCGGCGCCATACCTCTCTCAGGTAGTGGGTCATGAAGCCATCGATGACGCCATCTTGCTCCAGCCCTATGATGAGGTTCACCACGCTGGTAAATCCGAAGACAGCGTACACTGGAGCAGAGAAGTCCGCAGTTTAGAATGCAGCCTGCGGGAGGCACTTGAGAGCTGGCACCCAACAACAAGAATGTGATGCTTCTTATATTGTGGATGCTGTGGCACAGACTAGCAGGCCATACCTCCTGCCCTTCCAGCCAGGTCTCTGCCTGTCCTTCTGGGCCTCCCCAACCCTGCCCAAGAGCTCTCACTGAGGGAACACAAGTCACAGGGATGGAGGATGACAGAGTCACCACTGTCTGTCCCAGCAGGCTCTCCAGGTCACCCCCTTTAGCCTCTACTCCTGCAAGCCCAGAGCCAAATCCACATCTCACCTGGGCAGCAGAAACAAAGCCACCCACCAACTGACCAAAGAAACACACAGCGACCACCAGTTTTAAAAGAAAGACTCCATGGGGGCTGGGGATTTAGTTCAGCAGCATAAGCGCCTGCCTTGCAAGCAGGCAATCGTGAGTTCGATCCCTGGTACCGATAAAAAGGAAAAAGACAAAAAAAAAAAAAAAAAAAAAGAAAGACTCCATAAATCCAATGGTGGTGGTACACAACTATAATCCCAGCACTACGAGAGGCTGAGGTAAAAGGATCACTAAATTTGAACAAAGGCTTTGCAATTCAATGAGACAGCGTCTCCAAAAAATAAAAAGGGATGTAGCTCAGTGGTAGAATGTACTGGAGTTTCATCCCCAATACCAAAAATAATAAGGATGTGGATGATTCATCTTGGTGAAGACACCCAGGACAGCTCACCATGTATATCCTGCTGGCCTGTTCCACACATAGTCAGGGACAGTGATACATTGGTTTCATGGGTGCTTTTGTTTGCCAACAATTTGACTTGCAAACAAAAGCATTTGGCGAAATTTTGTTTTTCTTTGCAAACTCTACATTGGGTGACAAATACTACCATGGCCATCTTTACCAAACAAACATGGCCATCTTTTCCAGAATCATGAAACAAATTAAGTTCATGAACTGAGGTGCCACTATAATTGATATGCAAATGACAGTGATTTAAGAAAACACACCGTGGATTCCAAGAACTGGATACATGTAAGATGGTACAAGTGACTATGAGGGAAGGAACACAGCTCGTCAGAGAAACACACCAGAGTCAAGACTCCACTAAACAGGCTTACAACTACTCAAAACAGCTAAGGAACAGAACCCTTTAAATGGTGAGAGACCAAACTCAGCCCAGGAGTCATTGAGAAAGCTGTGTTTTTCAAAGCTGTGTCTTAGACCAGGGGGTGGGTGAGGAGAAAGGTCTGCAGGTGGCTACAGGAAAAGCTGTGCAGAAGGAGAGCAGGGAGGGCTGATTCACAGGGAAGGGAAGCTGGCCTCAAGCAGAATGTGTGGCCAGAGTACAGCGTCCCCATATCTGCCTGAAGGATGCATAGGCCGCATGTGCCCTGCCCCGCAGCCCATCCCCTCCCTGTGTCTCCACGAAGACCCACGACCCAGTTCTCAACAGTGTCCCTGATGGACACTCACTTGTCAGAGGCATCCAAGGTGGCCACCCCTCACTCATCTCCTGGGGAAGGGGAGGGGGTGGCATATGTCCCAACCATTCGATGGCAACAGTAGGGTCAGACACTGGCTCTGCTTCCTACTGGGCAGAAGCTGGCTGGTGACCTGACCATGAGGCTGCAGTGTGAGCAAAGCTAGAACAGGGCCAGGATGGACTGTGGAGAGTGCAGGAGGGCAGCCACCGTGAGGAGTGGAAGAGACCTCAGCGAGTCAAGTGTGGTCTGCCTGGGGCTGGACTGGACAGGCAGGACAGATAGCAGCAAGAGGTCAGTACAGAAAGGTAGGTTGGGGTCACTGAGCAAGGGGAATGGAGCTAGAAAAAGGACAAGGACTCCAAGGTCAGACAGGTATAGCTCTTCTACAAACCAACCGTGAAGCCCAGGCAAGTTACAGAAGTTCTTTAAATTGCAGAGTTTTTATACATGAACTGGGATAAACAAGCTCTCACCATCCTTCTTTGCCATCCCAAGACTTGCCTTGGCCTTCCCTGAGCCTCTAACAAGGAGAGGGCCCTAGGTTTGCTCTAGCCAGAATATGGGTGGAACTCTGTAATCCCAGCACTCTGGGGAGTTTTGAGCCAATCTGGGCAAGTTAGTAATTTAGCAAGACCCTGTCTCAAAATAAAAATAAAAAAGAGCTGAGATGGAACTCAGTACAAAGGCCCCTCGATTCCATCCCCAGTACTGGGGGGGGGGGGGATGTTCGCGAGAGTAACAGTAGCCAGCTGCAAGCCAAAGCCACCAGTGACAGAGCTTTCTTCCACCACTGAGCTTTTTGTGCTCTGTATTCCTATGAGGCAGGCAGAGCCCAAGAGCAAAGAGCCATGTGGAAGTCCTGCAGCCAGCCACCCATGGCCTGCAGCAGAGCACCCCCAACCCCCCACCCCACACACACCTGTGAGCAAGAAAAATAAACCTCTGAGCCTGCACTGGCTTGGGGTGTGTTTGACATCAGCATTACTGGAACGGAAACTAAATTAATAAAATGCCCAGCAGAGCACCAGCACAGGAAGCCCTCAGAGCCCAGTAGCTGCTTTGCTGAAAGTGCACATGGAAAAGGGCCTGGGCTCTGCATCAATGCCATTCTTGCCAGCTGTGTGACTTGACCATGGCTCCTAGCATCTCAGCCAGTGTCTGTATTTGTTGTAACAATAAAATAAAATTAAATTGCTAAAGTGCTCAGTGCCTTGCCGAAAACACTGTAGGTGCTCAATCATGGTGTTTTTATTTATTTAATACATATGTGTATTTTCCAGGATCTGACCTAAGTATTTTACAAATACCATCTTATTTAATGTTTGCACCAACCCCTCACGTTGAGTATAATTATTTTCCTCTTTGTACAAATGTGCAGGCTGCCACATCACACCAGGTGGAAGGAACTGCCTGTCCCAGGCTGAGGCAGGAGGCCCAGCAAGAGGCAGAGGTAAGAGAAGCTGCGGATCAGAGGGCACAGGAAGAGGCCTGCCTGTCCAGGCAGTGTCCCTTTACCAAATCCCCAGGAAGTGGGGTCCATGCCTGGGAGAGGCAGTGATGGCGAACCTTTTAGAGCTTTCAGTGATACAAACAGCCCACCGAGGCATACATGCCACAGGCTCGCCATCACTAGCTTAGAGGCAAGGGTGACATTCCCTCCCTTTGAGCCTGCATCACCAAGGAGGGAAACGGGCCTGGGGGCAAGTTCTTTGACACAATGGTTTCCCCCAGGAGACCTACCATAGAACAGTGGATCCCGAGGTGGCTTTCTTTTGACAAGAACTCGAGCCAGCAGGGCTACCAGGAGCAGGATGAGGGCAGCAACCCCTACGACTGTCCAGGAACTACAAGAACCAGAACAGGGGAGCGGTCACTTAGCAAAACAAACACAATGGCGCCTGGAATTTCCTGACATTGAATTCATTTGTTCCCAGCACTGCAAAACTCAGGCATAATCCTGCTCTGGCATAGCTCAGGCACCAAGAATCAGTGAAGTTTATCGATAACCCTTTGGCCTCTCTGGCCACAGCCCTGTGACTTTCAGAGACCAGAGCCCAGGTCCTCATCCCCTCTTCCGCCCATCTGTGTCCTGTGCACAGATGAAATGTGGGAGGTACCTTGGCCCCACCCCACCGGGCTCCTAAGGTGCCCTGCCTATTGCCTGTACCTTTCTACTTACCTGACCTGTTTGCCATGGCAGCTGACAGGCACCTGCAGAAATCACACCCTTCCCAGGGGGAAAAGTGTGTTCTGTACCGCTATGGCAGGCAGCATTGCAGGTCCAGAGTGCACAGGAAGATGCCAGTGTACATGGGGGAACTTATCTCCACGGAATCTGAACGCTACCAGCCACAAGTCACTTCCAGGCCCATAGAAACACTCTCCTCTCACACCCCCAGCAGGACAGGCCTTCTGATTCTGGAAGCCCACTGCAGTGAGCTGCCGCCCCAGAACCTCCTCCCACCCCCTCAGAGCTGCCAAAAGCCATTAATACTCCTCCACCCTCTGTTCTGCCTCTGTTCCAGCTTGAGACACACTGCAGCCTCATAGTCAGGTCCCCATCCAGCTCCTGCCCACTAGGAAGCCTGTTCCTGGCACTTTTGGATGACTGTCACATATGCCCCTGGGAAGAAGGGGGGTGGATGAATAGATGAATGGGTGAAAGATCACAGGTGAATGGATGGATGGGCACTGGGTAAATAGGTGGCTAGACAGATGACAGATGGATGGGCTGACCTTGCTGGATGCTGGATGGATAGATAATGAATAAACCAATGTAGGGAATGACCACTGATGGATGATGGATCAAATCTATGATAAGAGAGAGGATGGCTGTGTCAGAATGCAGGTGAGAAATAAATCTAGGAGGTTTCTGATAGGAGGATGCTTTAGGCCCCTCTCCAAGGGACAGGCTGATGAAGGAAGAAGCTGATGGTCACCACAGCCATGACACTCGGCTGGTTGTCAATGTGACAGGCTTGGGAGTCACCAGGGGATTAGGAAAGGACACGTCTGGGAGGGCCATGAGGTGTAATCTGGAAGTCTATATCTGGTTCCCTGACCCTTCCTCTCTGGTGTTCTCCTCCTGGCCTCTGCTTTCCAGCCTTTAGGAAGCGAGCAGGCTTGCTCCACCATCTGTCATGATGTTCCTGCCTTGGAACCAGCTGGCTATCTACGAAACCCTCTGAACAGTAAGCCAAAATAAGCCTCTTCTGCTTCACATTGTAGATGTCAGGTATTTTGTCCTAACATCTGTAAAGCTGGCCAGTGCATGGGCTAAAGCACCAGTAAGGAGTCGAGAAGACGTCAGAATGAGGTTAGATTATGGGCATAATGATGGGCATAATTATGGGCATACTGATGATGGGAAGCTGAGACAGGAGGGGCTGGGCAGACAGCCCCCTCCCGCCCAAAACAGAGCCTGAACTCACAGCAGGACCACAGGACTGGTGTGCCTCTGAAGTCTGAGAGAGCCCTGTGAACTGATTCACAGCTTCCTCTCATGGTCTCCACCTGGAGGGGAGAAGAAAGAATGGCAGGAAACCGGGATAGCAAATCCTCTCTGCCTCCCAGCACTGTCCTGTGACTGCCAAGTGTAGCCCTGCTCAGAACAGGCAAAAACAGGTCCAGCAGAGTGATGGTGAGGGCTGCAACTAACCCAAGGGGAAAGCTTGTTAATGTAGGCAGCGACGGCAAACTTTTCAGAGCTTTCAACAATAACAAATAGATGCCATAGGTTTGCCACCACTGGTGTTGGGAGTAGATGCCATTTTATGAACAGATGCCTGACAGGGAACATGAATGGAGAAGAGCGAGCAAAGTGAGTGTCAGGGGCTGGGGGGAGACCCCAACCCTTTCCTGACACTCACCCTGTTTGCTTGTTCTACTTCTCAGCTCAAGTTACCAAAGTCAAACATCAGCAAAAGCCTCCTTTGTGCAGGGCGCTGGGCTGGGCTGGGCTGACAGTGCTAAGCCAGGCTAAGCTGTGGCCTGCAAGGTGCAGTGAGAAGCAAGTCCTGTGGGAAAGGAGCTAGACCCCTGGGGCTTTAACCTGCAGGCAGAAGAGAGGAACAGGAGGATGTAGCGACGCCACTCGGTGGCCTGTACGCGGTGACAACTATTTCTATGTCCCCAGCCCTCACTCAGATCCTTACTGCTGTGCAGCTCTCCTCTCCTGCTAGACACTGCTTCGCCCACCGGCCCCTGCCCTTCTCTGCCCAGAGCTTGCCATACCTGAAACTCTCTTCTTCCAAGAAGCCTTCCCTGACAACCAGCTCCATTCCTAGCCACCCTGTTTTACTGCTGCTGTTTATGTCCCCCCCCCCCTGACGTCTGTTTCAAAACACTTTTCTGGCCTGTTCTCAGCTCTGACCCCCAACCCAGCGCACGACAGATACTCAGTAAACCACTGAGCCGCTCAGACTGCTCTGGACTGACAGTCACATCCCATTTGGCCGCCAGAGCTGCCGCTCCCAGGAGATGCGCCCAGGGCCTGGGTCAGACCAAGGGCAGGCACTGCCCGTGCCCAGTCTGCCATGGCCGCTGCCTCCAAGCAGACGCCGCGGCCGGCCTGGAGGGGTTCGCAGGGCGCGGACTGATGCAATTTCCTCAGCACCAACTGCTGAGAAAGGGCACCGGCTACTTCCTCCTCCGCGCAGAGGGCAGCCACCCTCACGCGAGCGGCACTGCCCCGGGCCCACCGGCCCCTGCTCCCGGGCTCCGCGGGTACCAGTCCCTGCAGGGGGCCGAGGCAAGGCGGCCTCCGCACGGTTCCCCGGCACGGGACTGCCCCACGCACAGCAGCCTTGCAGAGGGCTGGCGCCCGGCCCCTCTGCACCGTGCAAGCCCTGACCACCGCACGGGCTGGGAAGCGCCCGGCAGGAGCAGGGCTGGGCCCGCACCCTGACCCCTCTGCGTGCTCCGCGCCGACCGCAGGCGCCCCAGCCCGGGCGCCCTCACCCGGCGGTGGGGGGCGCGAAGTTGCGGGGCTCCCGCGAAACCCCGCGCCTCCCACTCACTCGCGTTGAGCCGCGAGGCGGTCGAAGATGTAGGTGGCAGGGATGGCCGAGAGCGACAGCACGAACACCCCGGTGGCCGCCGAGGCGCTCATCGCCGCCGCCGCGCCGCTCGCCCTTCACCGCATCCCGCGGGCTCCTGCCCGCCCCGCCCCGCCCCGGCTTCCGGCGGCGCCGCCCCGCCCGGTCCGCGCCCCACTCCGCCCCGCACCCCGAGTTCCCCGCCCCGCCCCGCCCTGCCCCGCACCCGAGCTCCCTCCCGCACCCCGAGTGCCCGGACCCGCCCTGCACCTCGGGTCTCCCTCTGCCCTGGCTCACGCCCCATCCCGCCCGCGACCGAGTCCCCGACTTCCCGGCCCGCGCCCCGCCCCACGCATCTCCTGTTCCCCGACTCCGCCCCACGCCCCACGCGAACTTGGGGTGAGACGCCCCGGCCCCAGACAAGTGCGCTTAGGCTGAGAGGCGCCGGGCTGAGCTGCGGGTGGCGCAGGGTGGGGTCCGGCCCGGGACACTGGCCAGAGGAGGTCCTGGCACCCTGGACTCGGCTGAGTCCCTGCTGAGATCCCGGCTGCCCAGTCTCCGGCTGCTGGACTGGGTCTCGTTGACCTCCGAGTGTCTTTTCCCTTTGATCTGCGCATTGGCGATCACGGCTCCTGGGTGGACTGTGGGGTCCCGAGTGAGATATACGAGGTACTTGCTCTGAGCTGCTCAGTACAGCGATCACTTGCAACCCTCTCCTTTTGGGTTAAAGCTCAGCCTCGGGGAAATACCTTGACTTTAAAAGCATCCGTTTCCATTCTAAGAAGTGGCCCTGAATGCAGTTACCCCATCTGGCGTCGCCAGTCTCTGCCTGGCTGGCTCCGGGGGTGGGGTCAGAAAGCCCCCAGGGGCTGAGCCCGGGTTGGTCCCTGGCTGGGGAAATAGTCTCACAACAGTTCAGGCAAGAGAAGGGTGTGCTGGCACTTCTCAGGGTTCTGCAGCCTGAGGGAGAGCTTAGGGGGCTCATTTTAGATAAGAGGAAAACCCGCAGACAGGCTGTGTGACCTGCAGCAGAGGCCACTCTACTTGTTTAAGAGCCAGCTCTCCTGATCCCCTACCCAGCTCTTTTTGGAGGCATCTCCAACTCCAAGCCCGTAATAGCAAACCCTTTGCCCACACCTTACCACATCCAAGTCTCCCCCGCCCCAGCCAGGCCTCAGATAACTTCCAGTCCGGCAGGGTGCTTGCCGGGCCTGAGTTTCCCCTCCAGTTACCACCCTTTCTGTTTCCTTCCTCATCCACACTTGTGTTTCATTCTTGAGAAATTAAAATGAGACATGCATATAACAAATGGTTTTCCCTTCAGTGGATTTGAAGTAACAATCTTGATGCTAAGATAGATTATATCCACACATCCGGTAACATTTATTATCATCTTTCTTTTTTCATCCAGGCTAAAGCAGACATTGCAGCTGCTGTCACAGTTTTAATGACCCCTCTACACTGGTGGAACCTAATTTGTTATTTCTTGCACTGATGTCATAGCATGGGTGTCCTGCTGGCTTCTCACCCCAAACCCTCAAAACAGAGCTCCTGGTCTGCTTCGAGACCCACTCCTACTTTATCCCATCACCCACTCACCTGAGCCAGAAATCCAGCGTGGGGGTCCAGGTTCATTCAGACATCTTCACAGGTCCTGTGGTCATGATGCTTCAGCTAAGGTTACTTCTCAAGTATTGCTCTTGGGAAGACCTGGGACAGAGGAGGTGGAAAACCCCCCTCTATCCGCAGCCTATACTTTTGTGGAATCATTACTATCCAAAAGAGCTTGTGCACTTTGTTTCCTGGCTCGTGTCTCGCCTCTGGTGTAATGCAAGCCCCCTGAATCAGGAACTTCAATCACTGTTCCAATCCCATCATCTAGATTAGCACCTAGCACATGATAGGTGCTCAAGAGATACTTGTTCAGTGAATGAATGCTCTAGATCAGGGCTGTTCACTAGAAATATATTGTGAGCCATAAATGTGAGCCACATGTATATTTAAATTTTCCAGCAGCTACATTCAAAAGTAAAAACAAGTAGAATTAACCTAGGAACGTTTGATTTTGTGTAATATGTCAAAAGAGTATCTTTTCAACAAGTCATCGATAGGAAACATATTAAGACGTTCTTTCTTCAAACCCCTGTATGTATTTGACACAGCCTGTCTCAGTTCAGACCAGCCACATTTCAGATGCTCCGTGACCCAGCAGCAGCTTCTGCATGAGATATCATGCTCCAGACTTCCTCCCCCGTCCTACAGAGCAGATTGCAGTCCTGCTGCTGCTCTAAGAATGCGTGTGATCATTTCATCACTCATCCATTTATTTGCTCAATAGACATCCTCCTTCAATCTCACCCAAAGACGAATTCCCAACTGCCCAAGAAAACCACAGTTTAGTGTGAGAGAAAAACATGTAAATAATCACTATTGTACAATGCAGTTAAAAAAAATATGGACAAATTGCTGCAGAAACCACCCGACTCTGTCTACGAAGCCAAGAAAGCTTCAAAGAATCAGCAAGGCTTTAGACTGGCTTTGAAGAATAAGCACAGGGTGTCTAAGCAGAGAAGCAGGAAGTGGGCTTTTCTGGTCATTAGAGAAAAGCAGAAATGTGCAGAAGAGGAAGTCACTTCATGAACTGCAAGTTGTTTACATTGGCTGGAAATACTGAATGTCACACAAGGGTGGGAGGTGACAAGTACTGAAGATGAGACTTGATCAGGGACTCCATCCCAGACAACCCAAATGCTGGAAGCCATTCAAGCTTTCCAAGTGGAAGAAAGGGTTGATCAGTCAGAGTGGCAACTTTAAAACTCTGTCTTTAAAGCAGCAACTGTGGGACGTGGCTTAGAAAAAAGAGAGGCAGGAGGCACAAAGGCCAATTAAGTGGCTACTGTAGTTGTCCTGGCGAGAGATGAGAAGATCTGAGCTCAAACAATGCCAGTGAGAGGGAAGAGGAGGAGACAGATATGAACAAAGATCTGGGGACGAACTGGAGAAAGTAGGCGGCAGGTCCCTCAAGATGAGCTTGGTTTTGGATGTACTGAATTTTCAGGAGCCATGGGGCTGTCCAGGAGGGCTGTGTCCCAGGCATTTGGGAGTGCCAGTCTGCAACCCCACGAGGTGCACAGAGGCAAGCACGAGGCTTGGGATCATCAGCATAGAGGCAGGGGTTTAAACCAAAGACAGTGGCAAACAGGAGCTAGCCGAGAAGGGCTGCTGAGCACTGCCACCAGCAGTTCAGCCTGTGGACATCTGAACTCAGAGGTGGCAGCATCCAACATACTAGAACTGAGAGCCACTCCCTTAGGGCCACCAGCACCAAGGGGCCTGGCGAAGCTCGGAGGCTTCTGGATACACATATGGAAGTTACACGGCTGTTGTTTTCAGTGATTTCTCAATGTTGAAAATAGGAGTGGGCCGAATACAGGTAGTTGGAAAGAACATTTCACAGAAACCCTTCATGGTTTATGGGAAAGAGGAGGAGGAGAAGGAGAAAGAAGAGGAGGGAGGAAAACTGGATTTTGATTCTGCAGCACTACAGTAGTCTGTGTTTTAAGAAATAACTCCTTCAGCATTTTCTCCTCTGAACCTCACAGCAGGTCTCTGAGAAACAGAGAGCCACTAACGGGTGAAGAAACTGGGGCCCAAAGAAGTTTACTGATTCATTCAGGGTCAAAGGACTAAGAAGAGAAAGGGCAAACTCAAATCCAGGTCACTAAAGTCATAGCTGTCCACAGCAAAGTCTGCAGATGGCACCTGGCAGTGACGGGTGGGGCCCTGGGTGTGTAGTTTAGCGGTTAAGAAAAAGGAAAAGGAAACAAAACAGTGGACAACAGATCTGCCAGCTGCCTCATTGCTGCAGAGGTCTGGGGTCCTGCTGGATGGTTAAATTTGAGGGACGGTCACATGTGGCTTTTTAAAAAGGCATTTGGACAATGAGGTTTTACAGTGTCAGTCTTACCAACCGTGACATTTATATTGTAGCTGTAAGCATCAGCTTTGACTCCAGGTTTCCGGAAAGCAAAAGTAGAACACAGAGAGCTGCAGCCTGCCCTTGCCAGTTTTTGTAGCATCCGTTCCATAACAGACTCCCAAACAGCTCGAACTGAAGGCCCCTCCCCCGGCCTGTTCCTGCCTCAGAGGTGAAGAGGAAGCAGAACTTGAAGGAGCTCGGTCAGTGGGACACTGTGTTGCTGGGTAGGCACCAAAGTAGCACGGAAGAATTCTTCTGCAAAGTAAAGGAACATCCCTCACTGCCCCGCCCCCACACTCAGGACCTTCTCCCTCTTCCTCTCTTCAAATGCTTTGCTTTCCTCCTTTTTGTCTTTCCAATCAAAGTCATGCCGGTGTTCTCATGCGAGGCCACACACTTATCATCTGTCTCCCTTGTGCTCCCGCCTCAGCAGGGCAGAGATCTTGCATGACTTGCGTGTGGTCTCCCCAGGACCTGGCACTAGGCCCTGCATACAGTAGGATGCTCAATAAATATCCGAGTGACTGCAAGGAGTAGGGGTGGGAAAGAGAGCAGTATGCAGGAGGCAGACTGATCTGAGGTGAACAGAAGCAAAACAGATGAGCTGAGAGAGACCAGGGCCAGTCACTAGGAGCCTATCTGGAGATGGGAGCGAGATAGGGCCACTCCCCACCCCCACTCCCCCAAAAATGCTGAAAGAATCTGTTGGTACAGCATGTCCCTGATTCTTCTCAGTAAGTACAAGAGGGGTGCAATTATTAACATGGACTTGGGGGTGCACAGCAGAACTGTGTGTCCAGCTAGCAACACAGTACCAGGTATTGTATGAGGCTCAGTTAATGTTGACAGCAGGGGCAAAGGAGAAGGAAAGGAAAGGAAAGGAACAGTGGGGAAAGAAAATAGGGAGATGGAAAGAAGGAAATAATAATCAAAAAACAAGTCGAAGGAAGGTAAAGCTGACATACAAAATGCTTTTCAAAGGCCCTGCACAGTTGTCAAAGAAGGTCTCCAGTTTTGTCCTGGGTTTCCTAGCAACCAAAGCAAGAAGGGAAACATAATCAGTTCTAACATTCATTGTGTCCATAAGATGAAAAACAGAGCAGTTGCTCAGAAAAACTCTCTTCTGGCTCCTTTTACAAGG